TGCATCACAAAACACCTGCCTGCCTCTCTCCCTTCTGCACCTTTGCTGGGATGTTAAACTCCTTCACAGGGTCCACACAGCATTCAGCTTACCTCTTCCATGATCATAGTCGTCCCCAGGGGCTGTCCATGTGAGATTGATACGATTGTCCCCTTGGATCTTTGCCTTTAGGTCAGTGATTTGGCAAGGTGGAAAGAGATCAGGTATGGGAGCCTTTGGGATTCTGGAGGCCACAAAAGAACCTCCTGAGGATGTTCTGCTGAAAGGCATGTGCTTGCATTGAAGATCATTTTTATAAATTTCAGGTCTTGGTGGATTTCATTTTACTTCACCTGCATTAAGATATTCTTCAGTACATGGTAAGCTGCACAAACTGGCTACACTTTCCTCTGTTTTGTGTTATTGGACTGCCCTCTTCCTACTTTACCCTTTCCCTTCTTTTTTTCCCCCCCGCACACAAAATTCATTTAATTATTTGGTGTAAAGATGCCAGATCATAGAGAAAGAAGCAAAGAGAGAGTCCCAGTTCTTTATCTTACAGATATTTAGTGGAATAACTTTCATAATTTATTTTCATGACATTTGTCCTGGAATTATTTCTTTTTCCAACTTTTAGCCTATCCTGATCGAACCCTTCCACAAGTAGTATAAATACTACTTCTGTTTTAAACCTTCTCAGATTGCCTCAAGAAGTCTCTTCCACCTAAGCAATACTGTGAGTTCCATTATCTTTTCTATTTATTTGGTAATTAATCACCTGGACCTTTAAGAATTGTCTTGATTATTTATTCTGTGCATGAAATGTTCTATGTTAGGGATTGTATGACTTTATGCATTTGAATGACTTCTGATTTTCTCAATGAATGCATGGAAACTTAGTTCTTATAGCAAATTCACTTTCTCATAAACTCTACTTTTAGCCCTTAAAAATTTTGCCTGTAAGACAAATTGATCTTCATACTCATTAATCTGGTCTTGGGCAAACATGAAGTAGGTATCTCGGCAGGTGAAGGGTTAGTATTGGACTCATCAATAGAGACCATCTCTCTTGTTACTAAGGCTCATCAAGGTATCGAGGGAAGAACATGTCTTCCCAATGCCAAGCCCGGTGCTATTACTAATAGTTATGAGAGTCAATAACTTCTCTAGCCTCTGTTTCTCTATCTGTAAAATGAGGTAATTAGGATAATTAAATGTAATAATGTAATTAAGACTCTGAGCCTAGGTCAGATATAGGCACTAAATCAGTTCCTTCCTGCCTTCTCCTAACTAAAAAAAAAAAAAGGACACATGGGGACAAAATAAGCTAACATTTTAGACAGAGCTTTTCAAGCAATAGTATCTTTTAGAGCATTTTTTTTCCTATGATTTACATTTGCATGAGGAGATACCACATGGCTCAGAGTTCTCCCTTTCCTAAGCATACATCCAAGTGAAGAGAAGCATACATTCATCTACTATTCTTCCTGGTCTGAGCAGAAGAGAAGAAGAAAGGGAAGAAGATAGGTTTATGAAAATATTGATGTAAATAACAAGCCTTAAATTGTTATTATTTTTTCTATTCTTTGGGAATGCCCATGTCAGTGGAAAGAGCTTCATTACAAAATGTTTTTAAACTTATTAGATATAATAAACAGTTATTGAATACTTACTGTTTACTGGCAATAACTTATTAGGTATATAGTTCCTTGATTATTCCTTATAACCATTTTATGTGCTAGTAACCATTATCCCTATTTTACAACTGAGGAAAATGAAGAACAAAGAGATGAACTGAAATAATTGACTTGATAGAGGGCTGGAACTTGAACTGAGGCAGTGAAAAAATAAATTCAATCTAGTGTCTTCAATTGGGGGCTATTTTGCCCCCAAGGGACAATGGGTGAAGTCTGGAGACATTTTTGATTGTTATGACAGCGAGGGTTGCTTTTGTTTTCTAGTGAGTAGAGGCCAGGAATGCTGCTAACCATCCTACAAAGCACAGGACAACCCCCCACAACAGATAATTATGTGGCCCAAAAGATCAATAGTGCCAAGGCTGAGAAACCCTAATTTAATCCTGTGCCATTCTCCCGAAAGCTTAATGCTTTCCTCTTGATTGCAAGCCTTTTACTCAAGTCAGGTGTGTTATTACAGAGTACTTACCATTCTCCATCCAGCCAGGTATGTACATGGCTCCATTCTGATGGGGCATAACTCTCCGTCTGGCTGTGTTCACTCCTCGCAGCGCCCGCACTTTTACACTGTATCTACCATTTGTATAGTAAGCTGTAAAATACCTCGAATAGATACCATCATCTTTAGTAGCATCAGCACCTTGATAGGGAGATGGAGAAATTAATGGATATCCTAAAAGTAACTGTGCATTTGTATATTTCCAAAACAAAGGTGCGTTAAAATTTTCTAAGAGAATTCAGCATGATCTTCAAGAGAGTTTAGGATTTGACTATGTAAAGGATGATGTCTACTACTTTTTCGCATGTGTGTGTGATATGTATGTCTGTATAGTTTCATATGTGTACACCTTATCTTCCTGAACTGTTGTCTTTCTTTTTGAAATCAAAGATCATGTCATGTGTCTCTGTTACATCCAACCCAGTGCAGGTTAACTACTTGATAGATTTCTGTTGTATTGAATTGAATCGCTGTTATGTTACTGAGAAGAAAAAAAAAATGTTATATGATTATTTTAAAAAAATTCATGGCTTCTCCCAGGGTGGATTTAGGAAGGAAATTCATTTATAGATTTTGTCCTAAAAAGATTACTTGTATCACAGTAAGCAGCAAAGTTCCTCCTAAAAAGAAATGTAGAATTCTTTCTTTTTTTCTTCCTGTTAGATTTCTTAAATAAAAAATAATGGTCAGGATTTTCACTTTGGGAACAAGAAAATATAGAGTCTGCATAGATACAGGAGTCACATAAAACTACTTGAATTTATCTCTGCTGCTTTCTGAAAGCCTCAGTTTCTTCATTTGTAATGTAGGGATAGAGATATCTCAACAGTGTGGGGTACAGATAAAAATGTATATATATTTGGTCACACAAAACCCTAATGTAAGATAGGTATTAATTTTTTGGAGCATATGAATGCCCTCTGATAACTCCCTAGAATCTCTGAGCTATTGAGCTTGAGCCACCAATATGTTTGGGCTTTGCAGAAACTAAAAGTAGGCCCCTTTTCATGTTGTCCACCATTTAGAAATACAGGAATTGGTGTGGGGAGCAGAAAGCTCTCCCAACCAGACCCTCAGTGCTGCACTTCCTGTTTCTAAGGGTCCTCAGCAGACCATGCCCTCCTGCTGTTGTTTCTTGAAAAAGAAAAATGTGTTTTCCAATTTCTTAGGTGGTTACCTGCTCCATTGTCCAATAGTTCCAAGGTAACTGTTTTTCCGATCGCTGATTCTATCAGGGCTGTGACACTGGCCCCCAGAATCGGCAAGGCTCCTTGGTGAACCTTTGCATAAACTACCATAGGGCTAGGGAATTTGCCTTTGTCTTTGTTCATCTTAGAGGTCACTGTAAGTGGAGGCAAGGTAGCACTTGATGCGCGGGTGGTGACAGTCAAAGTCAGGGTCTGGGAGCTTGCTTGCAGACTGTAATTCCAAGGGCCAACCTGACTGAAACAAATGGAGACATTTCCAGTTAGGATCCAGGTGACACAGACCTGACTTCTGTGAGGAGCCTATCTGATACAAGCATGTTAAAGCAATCTAAGATGGTTTTTGCTACTCGCAGCCAAGGGAAACTTCTTCTGTATGCTTGAGCTAACTACATGATTCTAATTGTCAAGAAAGTCCTAATTGGGGAAAATGAAGTCTGAAAACTTTGTTCTTATCTTTGCCTTGGTTTCTCAAGGGCAGGATCAAATGGCTGGGTTACTGGGGTAGAAGAAACAGTTCTCATGAACCTGACTCTTCAAGGGTGATGTTGCATCTTGTAATTTGAACCTAGAGAAAACAACACAACTTTCCTTTCTTTTGACTTGCTGTCATACTGAGTGATTTCCTTTGGATGGAGATTCTTTCCGGTTCTCTCTTTCATTCAACACTGACTTTCCCTTTAACAACTAACCACATTTAAAAAGCTATGGTTATTCTATATAAACTTCACCTTGTCAAATTGTGAGAAAGGGGCATGCTGAGTCCATACCTTGGCAGTGCCTGGGATTGGGAGGTAGGCCATTTTAGTGTCTGCGTCCACTACGAAGCCACCTTGTTTCTTTCCTCTGGGATCCCAGAGAAGGATCTGGGGAGGCTGTGCTGTCCAGGTGATGAGAAACAAGGTGTCGTTTCCCACAGTGCTGTCCACAATTACTGTGCCATTCATCCACTGGCTGGCCTGGAGAGTTGCTCCTGTACTCTCAAGCTGCTCAGAAACAAACAAACAAACAAACAAACAAACAACCAAAGAAAACAACTCTTTACTTTCTGGAGACTATAGCTCCCATCACAGGGTCTCTTCCATCTGTCCCCCAACATTCAGTTGTCCCATTGAAAAGCCCTGAGTGCTTGCGTCCTCGGTTTGGTATTTTGCTATTATGATCTAATTCTAAATTACCTCTCCAGCTTTAGCTTCCACAAGGTTGATTCCTGCACCCAAACCAGACAACTTCCCTAAACGATTCTATGACTATCACACACTCACTTCTCTTGGAAGTATGTGTGTTCCTCTCTATTTGTCCAAGCCTCACCTATCCTTCAAATTTCACTTCAAACGTTCTCTGATGTCCATCTCACTTACCAGCTGAGAGTAACTGCTCCCTCCCGTGAGCTCCCACAGGGGGCTGTTTCTCTCAGTCCTTTGATATTCTCGCGTTGTGTTTTGCTTTATACCTACCGGTATACAGAGCTCATCTTATTTACTACACTATAACTATGACTGGGACTTCTTTTCATCCATATATGGATAGTTTGGATTGCAAATAACTGTTAGGTTGAGTATTATTGCAGTCCGGGTAAAGATAAATAAGTCAATTGCCAAGGTTGTTTGTTTCTTGGAGTAGAATGGAGCTGAGAAGCTGGATTAAGATGCATTAGAAAGAATTTTGTAAAAAGTGTGATTCTGAGGATTATGGCCTAGAATATTACTTATTGTCCTTAAATTGAACTCTTACTAGAAGATAAGGAGGCCTAGTCATGGAGCCAGACTTTGTAGTTCCATAGGGAGATACAATCTTGGATCTGATTCTTATGACAAGTGGGTAAATGAGTCACACTCATTTCTTCATCACTCTTCCTGTTAGGTTTCTTAAGTAAAATACAAATGGGCAGAAATGGCCTGATTGTGAACTTGCCCTTTTATCAGTTTAATTACTTTTCTAAGACACATTCCTCCCATTTCTAAACCAGGCTCTCAAGTTTAATTTTCTAAATTTGAACTAGGATAACCCAAAGGAGTATAATTGCTTTCTTCTTTGACTGAATAATTGCTATATTGGTAGATCAGAAAGCCTGTTGTTTTGAAATCTTATCATTATTTGGCTTTGACATCAGGCATTCCTTTACTTTTATCCAAACTTTCACAATAAAAGTTATAATTCACACAGGTATGAGTACTGATTGTTTACTCTCTCTAGTTAAAAAGCACACACCATGTAAGTAGTTTTTGCACTATTAAATAAGAGCATTTTAAAATGTTTGTCCAGTTTTTTTTTTTTCCAAATAGTATCACGGTTTTTAAAAGAAAACTTTGTTTTTTTGAAATTTTAGAATCAGAAAGGCCTGCCTGATTTTTCAGAAAACCAGGAGTTTTCTGGTTCAGATCTGTCTGAGAAGCTGAAGCCCAGATGGATGAAGTTCATTGCCCGTGGTCGTAGAGTTAATGACCGACCCTGGACAAGACTCCAGGTGTCTGGACTGACAGCATGGGCTTTTCACAGAACAAAGCACTTTCCATCCATTATATGAAAATCTTGGCCAATATCAGAGACTTGCAGTAATGGAAAAATAGAGCAAGTAATCCCTGAACACTTTTCCTGGAAATTTTGTATTGAGATGATCTACTCTGAAGAAAATTCTGAGCCAATTATATTGCTATGGGTGCTTGTTAACAGATGTTAAAAAAAAAGAATTCTTGGACCCATTATATTTTATGTTGTGGTTTTTATGAGGAGTCACTTAGTACTATTTCCAAACAAGTAAACACTGTTGCTTTGTTTAAATGAGTAGTGTTGCATTTTAGGAATAACGTTTTAGCCTAAACATGTATTTTAATTTTAAGTCACTAGTAGGAGAGAGCAGAACTTAAAACTTTTAACCAGTAAACTCTCCATCTTGGCTAGCATTATTTATAAACATGAAAAATCCCAGAGGAAGAAGTCTGACCTGGATGGAGCGCTGGGAGAGAACTCCGTTTCCTGATGAGAGGGCCCCAAAAGCGTCAATGAGGCCATTGTTCTGAGCCTGATCCGAAGCATATGTCTGCAAACCTCCTGAGAAGAAATTACATAGTCAGAAGTTACTTGGTAGAAATCAAGTATGTGCATCATTTTTGCTTTTCTTAAGGTAACAGAATACACAAAATAAATATTCTACTGTGTTATTTTTTTAAGTATATATTGTTAATATACATTTTTTATTGATTTCAGAGAGGAAGGGAGAGGGAGTGAGAGAGCGAGAAACATCCACAATGAGAGAGAATCATGGATGGGCTGCCTCCTGCACGCCCCCTATGGGGGATCGAGCCTGCAACCAAGGTACAATACATGCCCTTGACCGGAATCAAACCCGGGACCCTTCAGTCCACAGGCCAACACTCCATCCACTGAGCCAAACCGGCTAGGGCTCTACTATGTTATTAAAGTATTAACAGATAAACATCAAATAAGTATCCAGATTAACTCAGAAGTTGATACTAGCTTTTTAATCACACTAAATAATAACTCCAGCAACATCTCGGTGGTATGGCTACTTCATCTATGTGCTAGCAAGCATGAACCTGACAAGCCCAAACTGACTTTATAAAATTCATGTTTTGCCCAGTGGGTGTGGCTTGGTGGTTGAGCATTGACCCAGGGACCATGCACTTTCATAGTAGAGAATCCACGAAGCCTTACTCTAAGCCTATGGATTTATTCTTTTTTTAGACATAATCCTAAGAAGGATGACTTCTGAGTTTTCTCCTAAGTCAGGAAAGCTGTGCATCTGACAAAGGAAGAAATAAAAGCTGGCAAGGAACAGTTGTAGAAAAATACAATATGTGATAAAAATGATATTATTCTACACGAAGCAGTTTTGGGCTATTTAGAATAGGTGAAACTAAAATAGTTGATGTGAAAGTGCTTTTAAACTATTAATGCCATCCAGTCTAAAGAAAAGGTTTTGATAATCCTGTTGATAATACAATTGGTGCCCTACCTAGATCCTTTATCTGGGTGAGTGCATCTCTTCTCAGCTGCTCTGTCAGCTGCTAATGGCATATAGCTGCCCCATTTCCCAGAGAATGGCCTTACCAAAAGGGGAGTCCCAAGCCCCAAGCTAGGGAATAATGTGGCCCCCCACCCCTGCTCTGCCCTGACAGTCCACAGCCATGGACTGATGGACACAGTGGCACAGAAGGCCAGTGCCCTTGCTTTAAAAATGGACCGAGCTTGCAGTGCAGTTCCAGCTCTGAGTCTTCTATGGAGCCAGGCTTCCGCTGGACTCCAAGTCCAGTCGGATCCATACCCAGCTCCTTCCCCTCTCCTACCCTACGCTCTTCCCACCCCTCCCTCCTCTTCATGAGAGCTCTCCCTCTGTAAGTTACATGCACCTAAACCCCTGCCTCAGTTTCTGCCTCTAGGAAACCCAGCCCAACACGGCGAATGTTAGGAGCAAACCGCCCTGTCATTTTAGCTGCCTCAGAAGGAGAAACTCAGCATAATAATTGCTATCCATAATTCTGGTCCTAAGTAAAATAAATACATCAAAACAAATCATGCCCATCCATTCTGCTAAAGAAGCCAGGAGCATATGGGATCTATTTTTACCATCTGTTGTGCTAGAAGCACAATTGATTAATGTTTTACAGAGACGTACATTGTATTCCACATTTTCAGAGTGACCTTCCGTGTGGCTGAGCAGACCCTTTCTTCGCTCTTCCCCTGCTACTCTTCGTTAAAAGTCCCAACTCAGATGTCATCTCTCTGGACCCTCTTCTTCCCTTCTTTGTGCCTCTTCGTACTTTCTATTGCCAACAGAGCCCTGTATCATGGCCTAATGTAACTGGTGTCTCCACGGGTCTCTTGCAGCTGCCAACTGGAAGTGAGTGTTCCTGGCTAACCTAGTAGACTCCTCCCAGCTCTTACAAAGTTCCTGGGAAGAGAGTCCCAGGTCCTCATTAGGGTGCGATGCTGGTTCCATCTTCTCCATACTGCCCTAATCCTAGAACCAATGCCTTACAATAAATGGGTGGAGTAGGTTCTAATGGTTATTTGGGGATAAGTCAGTCACTTGACCAGTGAAATGACCCTTCTTCTCCCTCTCCCACCTTTCCCCTCTTCCCCAGTTCACTGGAGCTCACAGTCCAGTGGAAGCAACAATGCTGTGGGGCTCAGCAGATTGCCCCTCACCTGTCATTTTAGACAGCTCCTCCAGTTCCTTCGAGGCATCGGGCCCTAGGGCAACTGTGTGGGTGATGGCTCTGCTCTGTTTCACCTCAGGAGAGCATGTGCTTATGGAGGTGTCCTCCCCATCAGTTAGTAGCACAATTTCAGATCCATCAGTTGGGTATTTCTTCCTAATCACCTAAGGACATAATTAAGAGAGTGAGTTACCAAACTCAGGGCGGCCAAGGTGCTTGTGAAAATTGCAAGTATAGAGAACAAGAAAAGAAATTCCGGAGAGAACAAACCAAAGTGTCTAGGGATGGTCAAATGTTTCTCTGTTTTGAAATGATACACTCTTAAATGGAAAACATTCATGGTACTTGCTGTACTCTTTCCTCTTGACCAGCCTGCTACAGTGAGAGCTTTATAAAGTGTGGCTCAGGGCAGTTCCAGGGGTGAGCAGCCCTGGGGAAGCAGGAAAGAAGTTTCCTTCACATAATCTCCTCAAGAGCTTTCATGGGTTCCAAGACATCCTCAGAAAGCATCCTCACTTAATGGGGATCATATTAGAGGAATATTAGACCCACGGTAGATTTTAGCTTGTATGATATTAACTCATCTGGCCATACCAATGGTTTATGGCTCACATTGGTTCTGATTGGTCAATACCCAGCTCACATGAGCTGTTAAAAAATTTATTTATCCTTTGTGCCACTCAGGGTGTATCCTAAGAAATTAGAAATACCAATCAGAAAGGATATATGCATCCTTATGTACATAGCAGCACAATGTACCATAGCTAAGATTTGGAAACAGCCTACTAGTAAGTGCCCATCAGCAGATGAGTGGATTAAAAAACCGTGGTACATCTCTGCAGTAGAATACTATGCTGCGGTAAAAAAGAAGGAATTCTTACCATTTGCAACAGCATGGATGGAACTGGAGAGCATTATGCTGAGTGAAATAAGCCAGTCAGAGAAAGATAAATATCACATGATCTCACTCATTTGTGGAATAGAATGAATAACATAAACTGATGAACAAGAACAGTTCCAGAGACAGAGAAGTATGGATCAGACCTTCAAACCTCAGATGGAAGGTAGGGGAGGGCGGGGGTAAGGGATCAAGATCAACCAAAGGACTTGTATACATGCATATAAGCCTAGCCAAATGACACAGACATCAGTGTGGGGGGGTTGAGGGTATGAATGGGGTGGGGTGGGGTGCAATGGAAGGATAAGGACACATATGTAATATCTTAATCAATAAAGAAAAAATAAAGAAATTGTAGCCATAAAAAATTAAAGTACTCTGTGACTAAAACAAAACATTTTATTCCTAGTAATCCCACTCCCTACTTGTCCTATGACATCTAAGTAGTAACTGCCAAACATAAACTACAGTTTTTACATAGTATAGAGAGGACAATATTGAATAAGATTATGATGGAAGGAAAAGCACATAAAAGAACAGTGTTATCCTCCT